AGTTAATGATTAATAATAGCATTAGATTTATTTTTGATTTTTGAATGGAAAGAATAATAATAAAAAATTAATGTTATGATAAATAATATTTATTTTTTTAATGTGATATCAGTGTATCTAAAAAAGGTGAGGATTCAATTTCTAATTTTAGTTGCTATTTTTTGATGATCAGCTATTAACTAACTATATTTGATTTCACGAAGTACAAAATATTTTTTTTCATTTTCAATTGCTTTACTTTTTTAAGCGCGTGAAATTTTGTTTTTAGATATATCGAATTAATATATAATAAATTATATTCTAATTGTATATTATGAGTAAATAGCGCACTAATTAGCATAGCAACTTTAATTAATTTATTGATTAATTAGCACAGATTAGTTTTAAATAGTATTAAAGGTTTAAATCAGCATTTTGATTGGCTAACTAGTTTCGGAAGGTTTAGCTAGTATCGTCTAGTTTCGCCAATTTATCGGAAAGTTTCGGATTTTAGTTTTGAAAGCCAAAACGTTTTGACCTTAAGATTTTGGTTTTGCCCACACCTTTACTACAACATAATAGTCACTGCATGCATTTAAAGTTTCTGTAAAATATATGAGTATATTTCTGTGTCTATTAGAATTATTTTATAATATGTGCATATTTTTGAAGTTTAATATACTTTTAACTATAAACAATGAAATTGTCACATGAAATTGAGGAAGAACATGATAATGCCTTTTTATATCCCAATTGAAAATTATTTTCATAAATAAATTTAAAATAATTTCGAAAATGAAAAATTATGAAAAAGAATAAATAGCTGCAATTAAAAAATATTAATGCGATATTGGAAAAATTGACGTAAAATTAATTTTTTTTATGTACAAATTTATAAAATTTATTTTATCATGTAATTCTATCGGAAATTACTAGAAATATTCCATTTTAAAATGCGGGCCAGATCAATTATCTGTTGGAAATATTAATTCTACAAAAACTTTATGTAATAAAGTTAATTAATTAAATTAACGTGGCTTGAAACTGATTGAGATAATCGAATTTTAAGTAATAGTCCGGTCGATGTATTTATGCGTTGGATCACAAATTGTTTAAATGGGAAATTTCTGACCTAAAACATAAATTAACCGCTTCAACCATTTAAAAAAAGATATAAATTTGTTTTAATTGTTGTAATTGTTGTGACTCTTCTTTCCAGTAGTTGTGCGATCATTATGGTAGCACGGGTTAAATAGTACTGATTTTGACAGTACGATACTAGAACCCCCCCAAAAAATTATGTAGCATAAAAAAATCTTTTTAAATTAATCTCTTTTCGTCATTTGGATCATTTGCTATTAAAATCAGTTGATAGTAGAGAGAATTCTCACCGGTGATTATTAATATCATTGTTTACATTTATTTTAAAACAAAATTAAATATTTATTGAACCAATATTACATGTACGTACAATATATAAAAATATTGGAAAATCCGTCTAAACTCAAAATCCATAAAAATCAATAGTTACTATATTATAGTTTCATTAACTGCAAATATTCAAATTTTTTTGCTTGATGTTTTAAATTTAATAAAAACTTTATCCGGGAAAAATTAAAAACATTATTAAAATAAAATTTGAGAAAAGCATCATCAAGACATTCTTATTTCCTATCATGCATGAATTAGATACGTTAAATCAGAACATATATCATATTAAGTAAATCTTAAAGATTAAATTTTTATCAAGAAAATACGCAAACCTTTAATAAAATTAGTTTTTATATTACTTTAAAATCTCAAAAGTTGCCGCAGTTATTTTGTAATATTGTTTCAGATACGAGCTTATTTATAATTTTGACTTAAAAACTATAATTTTTTTTTTTTTTTTGCGTAATTTGTATAATTATTTTCAGATACGAGCTTATATAATTTTGACTTAAAAACTATAATTCTTTTTTCATGAATAAAAAAATATCGATAAAATTGTTTATATTCATAATCTTAACGCATACTCATTATTATCATCTTAAAAAACTTAAGGAAAATACAAAAATTTGCTTGTATAAAAAGCTTCAGAATGGATATTCTGTTGATCAAATTTGCTTTTTTTCAAATTTGAAAGCTCTTCGGATAATTCCGATGGATCAGGACTATCAATAGCGCTTATCCAAGTTTCTAACTTTTCATATAATTCAGATGTAGTTGGACGACTTGAAGGATCAAAATTCCAACATCGTGTCATTAATTGAGTATAAACGTTTGGAGTTCCAATATCAGGACGAAGTCCGGAACAAATTTCACTGGCCAATTTAGAATCATGTGGTCTATTATACCATGGGCGAACACCTGAAGAGAGTGTCCACATGATGATTCCAAACTATAAACGTCTGCGGCCTCAGTTAGCGGTTTTCCTTGCAAGATTTCGGGAGCAATATAAGGAAGAACTCCATAAATTTCATTCGAACTTTTCTTATCAATTGAATATGGCTCAATATCTGGGATATCAATATTTTCAAACGAATCTTGTTTAACTTCAACCAATATATTACCTCCATGAAGATTTCCATGAATCAATCCCTTTTCATGATATTGTACAATTCCTCCCTCCACTCCAACAAAGCATTCCTTGAGTTTCATCAAGGTATGAATATAAGTCTCTATTTTCATAATATTCAAAATATTTCATGACAAACATGTAATTCGAACTAGGATCTTTAGTTATTCCAAAAAAGTTTTCAAAACTCTCATGTAAACAATATTGAAATTTATAAAGCTTCGTTAAACAATATTTGAAAATTGTTATTAATTTGAAAGTCTATTTGAAATTTTAAACGATAATAACAACTAAAGATAACTTACTTGTTTCAAATAATGTTCACTTATATTTTGCGAATTATTAATTCTCTTAAGAACGACTTTTTTAGGTCCAGTACGTACCCATTGATCAACATCTTTATCCCAATTCCTTCGAAGACCTTCCACCCATATCGCAGAATAAATTGTGCTAAATTCCCCACCTTTGTTTATGTTTTCCACAAATTCAAACTGTTCGAAATCAATATATTCCAAATAATCTACATTCTCGGCCGCATTTAATTGAGTATATTTGATAAAATTATCAACATTAAGATTATCACTTGTCCAGTTTCTAAAATTTACTTTAAAGGCATTGTATTCACAACCTTTGCACCACCTTGCATCACTTCGTCGTTCGTTTCCGCAATCAAAGCATTTTCCAAAATCCGAATTATCACCCATGTTTTGAGAAGGCGAATTTTTAATCTGTGAAATTTGTAAAAAGATCAGTCTGACGGAGAGGAGATGCATTTGGCTGCGGAAGAGATGAATGAAGAAGGGGAAGGAGGTGGTGGTGATGGTAAAGAAAGAATTTCAATTCAAATAAATACTTACAATTTTAATTATGATGAAATTCTAATGCGTCAAGAGAACAATAAATTGTAAAGGATTCAATAATGTAATATGATACTTTTCGTACGGAAGAAGCACAAAAATATTTTTTTGAATAATATTGTTCTTTCTATAATTTTAATAAAATGAATATGGGATGGTTTATTGAATTGAGAACGAGCCTTTTTTTTTTATCAGAACAAGTAAATTCAACTGTGATTAAAATTCAACCTTTATATATAACATTTTTTTGTCGTTTTTGTCAAAAAAAAAGTTGTTTCCAAAAAGAATTTTCGCGTTGCGTTGTGTCAAGGTTAAAAATGATATTTTAATTTGTGAGATTTTAATTTGTTCAAAAGTAATAACATATGATCAACATAATGTCGATATTTGTATGTGCAAATATTTCGTTTATAGTAGTTCAATAGCGAATGATAATTGACGAAGAAAGGTATATTATTTATAGATCGCCGATTATTTAAACCGTTCCTTTAACAATCACATAGTAAATCATATGATTCGTAACGTGATTTAATAATATACTAAATTTTTATTTATACAATAATAAAAATTGTTATATCATTAATTATTCAACTTTAATATAAATTGATATTTCGTTGCATGTATAAAATGTATAAAATAAATTGAAAACGGCATTTTTAACGTGATAAAATGAATAAATGATCGACAAGTGATTGATAAATGATCGCCGCATTATATGAAGATGTCCGCTATGCAAATGCTGCGCGTAAAATGCAAAAAAATATTTGATCTGTTTTACATTGTAAAAAAAAAAATATCACATGCTCATAAAATTAATCTCATTTGCCTTTTTTCTTCCAAAGCTTAAAAACTGATTTCCTAAAACAGATTCTGATTCCAAGATTCTAGAGATTTTTATTTTATTAGTTTTTTTTTTTATTTTTTTTTCGTTTCTAATTATTTTTTTATTTAGAACTTTGGTTTTTAGATGGAAAGAATAATGCTTCGTTATTAGTACTTCTTTGTATTAACTTTTTATACTTTAAAGAGGGGTTTCACTTTATTTTAAAAATAATTTTTATGAAACCTTTTTTTGATCTTGGTAATATAAAATAACGATAAGCAGTAATTTTTAATAAATAAATTGTTTTCGGTGCCTTTAATTTTAATTGATCGACAAATCACTAATTATCATTTGCAGATCGATAAAAAATCGGTAGAATTTTTTGAAAACATTATCCGAGTATAGCGACAATATAGATAAAATCGAAAAAAAAATGGTTATTTTGGTGTTATGAAAGAAGAAATTGGATATTTCCCGGCTTGTATTGTTCAGTAATGATTCTCCTAAGAGAGTTTGGCGTAGAATTAACGAAAGGTACAATAAAGATTCTTTAATTCCAACTGTAAAAACGTGGAGTAATTATTTTTGCAAGGCTAAAAAGTTGGGCCTTTATATTGATTGAGGGAACAATAACTGGTGAAAGATATCTTCACTACTTAATGATTATCTTCTACCTTTGTCATGAATTGGAGATTAAAATGAGCATTGTATTTCTGGATGATAACGCCAGGCTTAACATAATTGATATATAGCATGACAAATTGGTTAAAGCTATAATAAATAGTAATGGAAATTCTACAAAATATTAACAATAAAATTATAAAATATATCTTTAGATTATTAATATAAAAAAAAATTGTAAATATTGATACGATAGTTCGTAAGTTATCAACATCGCGATGGATCAGTAAGCCGGTTAATGGGACCGGACCGGTCCGGTCCTTTATTATTTATAGCATATATTATTTTAAATTAAGGTTTAATTTTATAAAAATTAAATAAATGTTTTATTTATAAAATATTACAAAATTTTCAGTTGGAACGACCCGGTCCGATTTTCATCTCTCTTATGGAACGGACCGATCATAAGTCAGTCCTTGGACCTGTCCTAATATTTTACTGTAACGATAATTCCTGAAATGAAAATATCAGAAACGGAGATTAAGAAGGTATATGCAACAATTATTATTATTATACTTTTTATATTTAATAAATTTATACAATTATTTTATTAAATTGATCATTAAATATGTATATATCAGGTGAATATATTTTTTTTAATATGTTTTAAATCAATCCTTGGACCAGTCTTATAAAATCGGTCTGGATCGAGAAGGATCCGGTCCAAAGAAAGATGAAAGACCGGTTTTTTTGGACCGGACCTATCCAACACATATCATATGCCCGGTGACTTTTGATACCCACTGTACATTACATTATATTAACCTTTATTCTTTTTTCACCCTCCGAATGGTAGGTTATAATATGTGAATGTTACAATTGGTTGAAAATTTAAAAACCCATTGTTCTTTTTCGTGATATGATATTTTTTTTTAGCTTTGAGATACGAACGTCATTAACATCCTAATACATCCAATATTTATTTATTTAGTTTGGTAATACAATGGGATTTAAATTAAATTAAAGGATATTAAAGGTAAGTTACACTAATTAAGTCTAACCGTTTTGCTAGCGAAATTTCTTGTTTCATCATTCTGATCTTTGATAATTCTTTAATGATTTCAAAATTGAACGAGATTCAATAATGATTAGCTCTAAAAAGATCATTAAACTCTAGAAATTTAAAAAAATATACTAAAATTACAATTTGTTCTTCATTAACTTACTGTTCAATAGTTTATTCCATCCATTTTGAATTTAAATTTTGTAGACTTCAGTGTTGTATATATTTTTATCAACTCAACTACCAATATTAAGGAAGCATAAATTTTAATCATTGTTAAAAAGAAGTCAAGTGTGATGAAACCAGTTGATGATTTTAAAATTTTCACAATAGTAATTATTATTTAATTAAGCTATAAAATATAAAAAAAAAAAAATTATTATACCGTAAGATTGAAATATTTATTTGTTGCGCCAACAAACGATGTTGATTAATGCAATATCTTTTTATTTTTGTTAAACTCCAAAAAGATTACTTAATTAGAGAATAAATGATAATAATAAGAATGGTTATTTTGTAATTAATATAATTCTGGAGATAAAAAACTTTTTTGGTTAAGCACGAAATTTAATTGTCAAAAGAACGTTTTAAAATAAGAAATTTGATTCAAGTTACACGAGGAACAATATTTTGGATTACAAATGAATAAGTGAATACAATTATTGCAAACAATTCAAGAAATTAATAATGAGGATTGGAGTCATTATTTTCACTTTAATTAATATGCGATATATAAAAGAAAAATCCTTTCAAATGATTTACAAATAAAAGCATTCAATTGTTTTGGATATTCCGTAACCCGACCAAGCGCAAATTACATCAGATAAGAGATTTTTTATTTGATATTAAAGGATTTGTAATTTATTAGCATCTTATGTGGTTGATTTGAACGCGCTTTGATTAGTTGACGACATTATCGGACTTTAAGCATTATGTAAAAAAAATTGCACTAAATTATTTTGTACTCCCTAAAATCTCCTTAATTTGATCATACGATTGTTAAATAATACAATCAGACTCTAATTCCAGCGTAAAAGAGTAAAAGTAATCAAATTACAACAAAGCCTTAAAACGCAGGTTAGTAAACATAGCACTTGTTTGTATTGAGATTTGTCCAGTGTTGAATCTTTGAATTGCGGTTTTCCTTTTCGCTTGCCTCAAACGTATTCGTTCGAGATTACAACTTTTTCATAGAAAGCTAAGAGTCAAGCGAAATATAAAACGGCACTACACATATAGTGCGCAAGTGTATATAAAGCTATCATTGATAGCTTTGGAGGGTCTTCCATGTTTAACGTTCTCATACAATATCTCATTTCCTTCCCAAAGCAAGTGTCGACATGGCAGAAAGCCGGAGTGTGTCTTACCGCATAAAAATTTCATTCCAGACCTTCCTGGTCCACCGATCAATTGCAAAAATGTACTAGTAATTTGTCATGTATTTTCGTGATGCTATATGACATAGAAAATTTTTGATACTAGTATGGTTAACATAGGGATTCCCTTATGCAAGAATTATGTGTGAAATTGCGAACTCTCAACGTTCTGACCTGGAGAGAAATGCAATTATAATACGTGCGATCTGTTCTCGGCATCATAATCTACAAAGTTTAAATACACGCAACGTTCAAGGAAAGAGTGATCGGGTGATGAAGGTACATCATACATATAGTTTGATTATTATTTAATTTTACATTAATATTTACATTTTAAGTTTTAGTCTATACTTTAGCGACAAGGAGAAAGTCCATTTATATATTATAGTGGAATTTTGAAACTGTCAAATAAAAATTTTACTCGCGATCCTACTGATATAATGGCCCGAACGACTCTAAATATATAATCATGATCTCCCGATGCTGAAGTATTTTGCTTCCTAAAATCGGATATGTACCATTAACTCATCCTCCTGCGACAGTTTTAACAATCGACTTATACGATGTTCAACTAAAGATTTAGATAATCAAGGAATGTAAAATCATCAACCTACTCTGTAGGGCATTTTACAAACCGATTTCTTTTGAAACGATGAATATGGCGGACTAATAAATATTTTATGAATATTATACTTTTAATCATATGAATTTGACGCAGTATTCTTTAATGTTTATCTTAAGCATGCAACTACATTATTTTAACCGAAAACTGTTGCTTTTCAAATCCATTGCTTGTATAAATAAACATACAATCAGGATCAATATAGAGGCTGCATAAGTCCAAATTTTGACAGCCAAGTCCGGCCCGGACTTTAAGCCAAGTATTAAAAATCCCGCCCGGACTTAATAATATGACAATTCGAACTTGACCCATAATTATTAATTTATGCTATTTGGCGATGCGAAAGATAATATTCAATAATAATATTTTTATTTTACAAATACCAAAAATAGTAATATAATATAAAAACTCATTATACATATTTATTCGTCAACATTTTATTGAAACCAAAAACTAAATGAAATGCACTTTGAAAATTAAAATACTATTTATTGTTTATTGCTCTGATTACAATTGACATTTATTTCCTTTTTGTCTAAAAAAAAAAAAAATAATTCAATAACAATAACAATTAATTAAATTATAACTTTTGCCAGAATTATAAAAAGTCCGAGCTGGTACTTTAAACCCGGACTCGGCCCGTTACAGGCACTTCCAATCATGATTTTAGAAAGAACTCATTGTGACATGTCGCTTTGATAAATAACCAGTTATTTCGAATGTTTCTAAATCATAATTTGATAATAACATTTCATTCATCGACGTTAGAGAAATAAAATTAGTACATTTGACGCGGATCATGTCAATTTTGCAAAAATATCAAGAGATTTCGTTAACCAGTGTTTATAGAACGATGGATTTCGTTTTGACGATCTGCATCGAATGGGTACTTTTGTAGCCCAAACCGGGATATCATTTCGAACATTAACACACATTTGGGATTGTAACTAATATGAATAAAAGAAAAAAGTGCGGCGGGTTGGTGTATTTTTCTTCATGATACTCCTTATCATGTAGAAGTATATACAGTACATTTTAGAACTAAAGGATATGTCACAACAACAAACGAAAATTAGAAGGTTGATAATTTTTTCATTACATAAGATAATTTGTAAGAATTAATAATTGAAGGACATATCTATTATAAATATGGTCTCAAAATTATCCGAACAGTCACCTATTAAAATCTCAGTCACCTCAAAATAAATACCACATACGCATAAAACGCAAACAGTTCAAGCTTTATTAGGATAAAAAAAAAAAACCTCAAATACGAAAGAAAATCATTTCGAAAATAGAAGCTTTTAGAATTGAATACACGTGCCAGATATCCTATTTCGCATAAATTGAATTTTGACGGATCAAGAAACCAGGGATTTTATTGGTAGAAATAACTCCATGTTTAAAAACCGAACATTGCACAATGCTTAACATCGCATGGATTGGTAACTCTAAAATAAACTTTATAAATTTGGACATCAGAAACTTATTTAGAAATATTAATATTCTCAAATAATGTAGATTTTACCGAATATTAGTGATTAGTGCGACGCCAGATTCCCTGGAAGGTATAAGCAAGAAAATGATTTTACGAGCGATTTTATCCAAGACCTTCTAACGAAGGTCCTTTGCATAGTTGATACCTTGAATTTTGATGCAGCTGTGTTATTGCTATAAACAGACAGTCACACTTCTGAAAGATATGAACCCCATCCATAGGTATACGAAATTCTATATTTGCTTTTAAGGAGTCATCCTGATCAACTTACAGAGGAAGAACACAACATCTTACAAACATTTTTCTAATAGTTCAACCCTCATTCAAAACAGACGGATAATGGCGTATTAAAATTTATCCTGAAACTCACATTAATTGAATATCAGTCCAAATAAAGTTTTAATTATTTAACTATTTGAAACTGAATATTAAGTTAACTAAAAATAAGGTTTCCGTTTGAGTTTCAAATATTCATATATCGAAAAAAAAAAAAAGCATGTTAACCGAAATTAAGGTTTCTAGAAATTACTTATTCGGGACTTTAATTTATTAGCTTATTATTTTTTGAAATAAAACAAAAGGAATTTTTTTTTTAAAAAAAAAAAATAAACTTTATTAATGATTTGAGATCATCTTGTAATATTTCATCAATAAGAGAAAGTATTAATTAAAAAACCAAAAAAGTTGTTTCATTATTATGAACCAATGACTGCAAAAATTATAAATTACTTTATAAGTCGATCAGGGAATCACAAATACAATATGAGCGATAATTTTTTTTTATTTATTCAATAACAATTAAGCAATATTGATAACTCATGATACGTCATTTACACAGCTTATATACTGTAACAGCGTCTTTGACAAAAAGAAAGTCTGTAATCATTATTAATATTGTGAAATAATGTAATTAATTTTAAAATTTTCATGCTTGATGGCGTAAAATAGGCTAAGAATTTATTATATCTTGTCGATATAATTTGAGCTGCTAAGATAAATAATAACACATCAAAGATTTTTTTTTTTAGTTTTTGATCTAGTAAAACAAACAAATGCATTCGTGCATGTCATTATCTTTTTGTATTGTTTGCATTTTGAACCGAACTTTGTAACTATGAGCGGTCGTAGAGTAAATTTTATTTGAATTAATAGAAGGTTGATCTTACGCGCAAAGAGATACTACTCGCAAACACATTTATACGACCAAGACGACCATCACATACAAATATTTGTCTTATACATCTTCCTTGGCACTACGAAAGTCGTAATTCTTAATTGTGAGTGAAGTGATAAACCGATAATATTAAATCATGACGAATGATATTCCAAAAAAAAAAAAAAAAAAATTTGGAAGGTATGCGCGAATTCAGATGTTGTTCTGTTTACGGTTTTCCAAGAAAATGAGAATAAATCTGAAGATTAGAACAAATTTCTCACGATTTAAAATTTCTAAATTGAGCTAATTAATGAGCTCAATAAACTATGTAAAAAAAAAAAAAGAATTTTTAATTTCATGCATACATTTAAATTATATTTTATTTGCTTGTGGACAAGGAAAAGACGTAGTGCGCTATTAAAATGCATGCATATCGAATTTCGTGTAACCGTATTGAAAAGATAGATACTGGTCCGGTTATTTTTTAATCCGGTTAATTAACCGGTTAAATTGATTTTTTTTTAACCGGTCAAAATGGATGAATTTAACTCCGGCCGAATTCAATTTCCGGCCAGAATTCAGATTTTTTAATTGTCTATCTCCAGCCAAATTTATAGTACTGGCCTAAGTTAATTTTAACCGGACCGGTTAAAGAATTCCAACCTCTATTTCTAGACGATAAAATTAGTCATTATTTTAAATCATTACGGTAAGCAACTCTTAAAACAACAATGACTCTTTCGTTAATCTCAAATCCAGTCAAAGCAGGTGAAGAATCATGAGAATCATGTTTTGGGGTATGCTAATGTTTCAAAGTTAACCAATCCAATATTCAATGACAATCAAATTTTAATTTTCAATTTTACACAAGAACACAAGAACCAAAATTTAATAATTCATTAAAGCCATTTCTTTGGATTTAAGTTCCTGCTTAAAAAAAAAGAAAGGAAAGGAAAGGAAAGGAAAGGAGAAAAAAAGCTTATGCTTGTGGTATCCTTCCTTCAGTTTGCTCATTTAAGTTACATTTACGTTGAAAATGGATCCATCTAGTACTTTGTGAACAACTTGCTGTCCAGATACTGTCAGAAAAATGGCGCTGACATATATATATATTTGTCCGTTTACGCTATATTGGACTTTAATGTATTTCTCACTTTATTCGCTTGCTTTCATTATATTTATTTATTTATTTTTTTTTTTTTTTCTTTTTTTTTAATTCTTCACATCTGATAAAATTCTATTGAGTTTTAGTTTAATAATATATTATTTGTAAATTACGGTTTCTAAAGAGCAATTGACAAATATTTATTATGAAGGGATGCGTAGTAAAAGATGACAGATTCTAAACAGTCAATTAGAACATGTTACAACGCGAATATCTGCAAAAAGTTTTCTACAACAGAAAGTCACTGACAGTTTTCAAACCTCGTTTTGTTTGTTATTTGATTAACTGGTACAAAGTTTTTCTTTATGACATAAATGTTTACATTATCAACCTTTTTTTTATTGACTTGTAAAGAAAAACAAAGAAGAATAATGTTGATAGACAGGGAAATTTCTAATTATAGCTTGTCATGTAAATTATTGCGGGTGTAATTTAAATTTGGTGAACAACCCCTAAGCTTTATATGATTCCGAACTTTCCCATATGCTTCAAAGCACAAATTAATTAATTAGTATGCAGTAATTTAAGTCGAATGTTTAATAATGCAACCTTTTGAAACTATCCGAAAGAACCAAAGAAAAAAATTCGCGCATAAATAATTTGCTTTTTAGTTTAAAAAAAAAATGCATAAAGGAAAGAAGAAAAGAATTAATAAAAAAAAAAAAAAAAAAAAAAAAAAAATTATGCAGGCAAAGGTTCTACAGCAATATTTCGGTATACCTATCAGAAATATAAATAATATAAACAAACAATTCAACCATTTCGTTTATACATAAATATTTATATTATGTACCATCCTTGAAATAAATTTGGATCCACCAAAAGATTTATTTTGTACTGTATTTGAATGAGTTGTGAGATGAATAAAAAAAAAAAATTATTAATAATTAATAATAAATAAATAAATAAATAAAAATCCATTTACTTTAATTTAGGAAAGGTTTTCTTTTCCTTGTATTTTTAGTTTTATCATTTTTAATTTTTTTTTTATCTTATATTTATTTTTTTTTTTTTTTAAATCAAACAAAAAAAAAAATTAATAATATTATCCATGAATAGTCATTCTTTTTTTATAATATACAATGTATTCACCTCATCATAACAAACTAGTTGTCTCGATATATTTCCTTTTATCTTGGGTGGTGGTTTCAATAGATTCATACACTCCGGTAGGACGTTTTGGACAAAGTTCTGCATTAGTTGGCGATAAGATATATTATTTTGGAGGAGAACAACTACCTCAATCGAACATTTCAGCAGCATTGGATGAGGTTTTATATTTAGATTTGTCAACTTCTTTTAATATAAAATCACCTGCATGGATAAATATTACCCCAAAATCTCAAATCCCCTTCGCCAATACATTCTCAACAGCAGTATCCCACTTAAATGATAATGATGTCTTCATAATTTACCTAATGGGTGGAATAATGGTTGATGCCAAGACCGATGAAGACAAATTTTCATCATTCATTCATGCCTTTAACACAGATTCAAATGAATGGGCATCTTTAACTACAACGGGAGAGCCAGAAAGGAGATATGAATTGTCCTCGGTCATTGACAAATCAAATAAAATTAGAATATTTGGTGGCGTTACAAATCAAGATACTGGATCTCCAACTACCAAATGGTTTACAGATCAATACGTCCTTGATATAGAGACAATGATATGGACGTCAAGTGTAGGATCAAATGTTCCCACAAACCGTTATGATTATTCTACAACAATATTACCCAACGGTCAAATCATTTGTATTGGAGGTTGGGAAATACCACCCGGCGATAAAGAACGATTCATAGAACTTAACCAGGTATGTTTCCTATTTCGGAATTTTTTATTAAACCTTTTTTTTTTTTTTTTTTTTTTTTTTTTGCGAAAAGGAAACAAATAGAAAATATATATTTTTTTTCATGTTGTAAATTAGATTTATATCTACGATACCAACATAAATAAATGGGATTTAAAGGTGAGTTAGAAAAAGATTGAAACTTCATTAATCCAACAGGATAAACTAATTTAAAGTTGATTACTAGTTTGCTAGTGGATCGAAAAATATCGATGCACGTCGATTCCATACCGCATCACTAACTGATGATGGACGCATAATTGTATTTGGAGGAGAAAATGTTGTTCGTGGAAGTGCTCAACCAAGTTTAGTTGTATTAGATACAAAGGACGCAAGGTCGTTTACTTGGGTTTTACCATTTATATCAGAGGAACCTAATGCTTCTCCATTACCTTTAATGCTTCACTCGGCTTCTATTGTAAATGACTATATGGTTGTCTCTTTTGGTAAAAAAAAAAATTCATTATTTATATTTTGTTTTTCTTTTGTTTTTGATCCTTAAATTGAAAAAAAAAATTATTATAGGTAATATAACGGATGGAAGAAAACAACTTAATGATAAAATTTACCTATTTGATGTAAAGAATTATCAATGGGTTAGCGAATTCATAATTGATAGCCCCTTCAAGCCAATTTCTCATTCCAAACCTAAAAAGACCTTAGGAAAGTCACCGTCAGATAAGGGAGCATCTGGTGATTCTGAAACAGATGAACCTAAATATCTTGGAACGATTATTGCCACAAGCATTGGCAGCCTTGCATTTGGTGTGATCATAACTGGAATCATAGCCTTCATTCATAAAAAGCATAAAAGAATTATGCGAGATCATAAAGAAGCACGGAAAATACAGGAACTATATCTACAGCAGCAAACAACACAACCCACCGCTAGCGTTTAAATAACAAATGATTGGGTTAGATTAACCAAATGTTAAAAAGAACAATATTGTTGAGTTTTTAATTGAATGAAGATTTATTTCCTTTGATCATTGTTGCATTAATCTTGTTTCTTTTTTTTTTTTGCACCAACTTCTACATTCATTAATGCTAAACTAAACATGTATTTACAATCTAAAGCCTGATTAAAACTTTTTATGACATATAACGTTGTACAGTTATTCTCCCAAACTGTAGTTTATTAATAATGCCTCCCTGCCCGCTTCCAGATTTCACACCCTTTTCAAAATATTCATTTTCAGAAAGATGCGAGATTGATGGGATTGAGAAGCTTCAAATAAGTCTCACGCTAGCGTCGATGCGAAAATGAGAAATAAAAATATGTTGGGATTTTGTGGCCTAAATATATTTTTTTTTTGATAAGGTCTTGGTATTTTTGGATCTGCTGAAGCAACTTGGCAAAGTATAAGTTAATTATTAATACAGTGATACAAAGCACCGCATACATACGGTCAACAGGAATCGTTTCATTGTTGCTGCGGTTAATAAATAGTAGATTAATTTGTTGCATTGCATCTTACGTTGTCTTCGTTAATAAGTAAAGTTTGTCTTTGAATCAGCTACCTATTTCTAAAGCTTCGTTTCCATTTTAAAAAATTTTTATTTTTTCACTTCTGTATTTATTTTTTATTACCTTCGTAAATTTTTTTTTTTAAAAAAAAAACGAAAATGTTCATTTGTGTGACATGAATTATTGAAAGGTTCTAAAGGATCAACTATTTAAGATCAAATTTGTGCATTTCGATAAATTATTCCCTTGACATGTTTGGGCACCATAAAGCGTGAATAAATGATGCTATTGCTAATTTAAAGTAACCTAGCCTTGTCTTTACTGCACAGTATATAACTATAAACGTTTGACCGTTATTATCGTTTGATTTCTTGATAAAATCACGTTCGCTAATGTTTATCAATATATTATCATGCATCGCATAATTAAGGTTCAGATTTTTTTTTTTCCGTGGAATATTCGGAAAAAAACGATTTGTTTGAATTACGAAACAATAAAGGAAACCAATTTACACAAAACGTATAACAATAATTAATATGAGTAAATACCATTAATTAGATGCTTTGTAACAATAAATAATGGATTTGTTTAGTAAATTATCATGCATGATTTTCAAATAATAAGTCTAAATGCAAAAATATGTTTATTTTTTTCATGCAGGTGAAAATATTAAAAAATCATTTTCTTTTTTCCTTGCCGTATTGGTTGATTGCTTTTCTCGGAACCTGATTTCCTAGAAATCTTCCTACGTTAATCTTGTAAATAAATATTATAAAAATGATATTAAAATGGTTCGATAAATTGATATTCATATTGTTGTTTGCATTTTAATCATTTTAATCGCAATAAAGTCGGTAGCACTTCGATTTCCACGGAAGTTCGAATGTCAACTCAATCGTTGCTTTATGCTTAGATGAATATCTTTATTTTTTTAATCAAAGAATTACATTCTTAGGATTATTTTTTATTTCCTAGATTTCAAAATATTCTTGGCTTCAATTGAATCGTCAAGGTAACATTTCTTCTTTCAATACATGTTATCATTAGACTTTTCGGTAAGTGAGTTGTACAGTATATTCAAAAATATATATATATATATATTAAATCTACCGCGATATTCGATATTCAAAATCTCCATGACGCGGATGATCGAAAATTTCGTGTAAATCTCTTGTGATATGATATTCTTGATGTTCAATGATATAATATTCTAATCAAAAAAGGCAATTTTTAAATTTAATATATTAAATTGAATTCATGTGATTAGATTTTAAGGCTAAGTTTAGGTTGGTTTCAGTTTAGAGTTGAATTGGATTAAGTTCATAACATGTTCAGGATATAGAAGATTTGCTATTATGTTATAGATTATATAATTTATTTTATTAATAACTCAATTTTAGGTTGTTTATATTCAGAATATGGTTTGATTAATTTAAGGTTGAAATTTAGGTTAAAATTAAATTAGGTTAAGAAATAATTAGGTTAGGATTGAATAGTTTTATATTATAGTTAAGTTAGATTATAATTTTGTTATGCTTAAGTAATATGATCAGATTAGTTTCAAAATAGGTTTAGGATATAGTCAGGTTAAATAAATTTTTTTATTAATTTTAATTTGATTTATAATTTTTAATTATTTGAATTTATTTTTATTTTTTATTTTTTTTAATATTTTTATTAATTTTATTTTAATTAATAACTTTTTTACATTTATTAAAATTATTTTTTTTTTATATCTATGATTTTTTTAAATTTATTTTTTTAAAATTAATGATTTTTTTAATTAATGAAATTTTATTTTACTTTTTTTAATTATTAATTTTTTAATTTAATTTATTTTTTAATTTAATATTTTTAATAATCTAATTTTTAATTAATAAATATTATTGAAATTCTAAAAATTTTATTTAATTTTCTGGTAAAATTTCTGAATATTTAATAAAAAATTCTAAAAATTTTATTAATATTCTTTTAAGTAAAATGATATTTTATATATAGATGATATTAAAAAATTATTAATCAAATAAAAAATTATAATAAATAAGCAATTAATTGAAAATCACATAATATATAATATAAAATAAAAGATAAATCATATAATAAGTAATGTAAATAAATCATAAAATATAGAAAAATTATGAGATATAAAAAAAAAGTTAATAATAAAATTCTTAAAATAAAAAAGAAAAAAAAGATAATTTATAAATATATATAAAGGTTATACAAAAGCTTAAATAAATGAAACTAAAGAAATGAAGTTATAAAATACTTGTATAACTTATATTTAAAAAGAAAATTATTCAAAATAATGAAAAAAAATATGAATATGTATAAGAATAAAAAAGAAAGAGAAAAATTATTATATAAATCATAAATTATATAAAAGAAAAAAGAAATAATTGAAGAAAGAAAAAAAATATTTAAAATGTAAAAAAATAATGGGATAAATCAGAAGAGAGATGCAAAGGTTTCAAAATTATTTTAAAGTTTCAAAATCAATTTTACAAGAATTTACTTATTTCTATTATAATTCTAAGATAAATTATGTTAAATTGATTGAGCAAAAATATCTGAACATAACCAGATGTTCTAAATGTCTATTTGGAATCTATAATTAATTTAAACTTTATAATTCTTTGAATTTTATAATTTATAATTGCTAATAAAATCAAGATTTTTCAGTTTCTATTAAAAATGAGAGAAGAGATTTTTTTAATAAAAAAAAGAAAAGAAAACTTAATAACTTAGCAATGGATTTAGATTTACTTATTTTTATTTTTTACATAAGATGAACTTTATGAGTCTTTTCCACTTTGCAAAAAAATTTTCTTTTATATTAAATTCTTTTCTGTTACAAATCCAAACATTTTTTCAGCAACCTTGAGAATTTTGCAGATAACTTTAACAATACATTTCACCTCTACTCTTCATTTGATCTCTGTTGCTGCTCTAAGAAGGAGCGAGTAATAACTTGAAGTAAGTAATCTTTTCTGAACTAATAATTAAGTCACGTAAGAATAATAATAGATTTAAACTTTAACTAAAATTAATTAATTAAATAAAAAGAGATAACAACCACTAGCTTTCTGCTCCTCAGATTTATAATTTAAAGAAAAATATGTTGAAAAATATGGATCAAGACAAAAAAATTATTTTTGAAGGAAATGAGCAGATTGATTTCTTGATAAATACTGTTTAAGAAATAATATAATAAAAAATACTAAGAGATTTAAAATTAAAAGATCCAAATAATTAATAATTTTTCTTTTTTTTAAAAGGGGATGAACAGTTTGATCATAGGAAAATTATAGATGAAAAGTGTAATTGTGTTAGATGTTAAGTTATTAAATAAAACTCTTTTTTGTCCAAAAAAAAAAATAAATTATGGAATATACTTGATTCCCATATTTCAAAACAAATGATTTTGTTAATCTACAAATAAATTACTGTACATTCATACAGTAGATTAATGATATTAGTTAATTCCTAACAAAAAGTGAAACCCAATCAACTAAATAACGATTCGTTTTGATCCTTTGAACTTCATCTTCGATACCTTAATAAAGTTTGTCTCTGAAAATAATACTAAAATCCTTTGTAGACGTAATATTTGATAAATGCATATAATAAAATATTTTATAATGGGAATGACCAATATTCAGGTAATCCAATATTGAAAAAAAATCGCTCAAATACGTGCTTTTACGAAATCGTTCAAAATATTCAGAGTTAACGATGAGCGTCGATGGCGTTAATATTTTTGATTATAAAATGAAACACTTATATTTAGAAATTGCCTATTGTGATGATCAGATGATCAAACTATTGCGGTACGTTTCTTGTGTCAAACGAAGTTATGGTGACAATTTCTATAGATCAAAAGATGTTGAACAGTACATATGATCATTAATATAAACAACACATGATAATGCTCGATTATTATAAAATATAACTTATCCAGTCAACAAAAAGTTGTTAAAAGAGCAAGCAAAATCAAACCAAACAAGTTTTCATAATTTAAAATGAATACGATTAATATTATCAATGCTAAACAATCAGTTGTCATTGTTTCCTCGAAAGATCCAATCCTACAAATCAATGCTCTATTATGAAAGTGCCCTCAAAGAGAAAAAAAGAATTATTCTTTTCAGAAAACGAAAATTTTATCAAAAGATCATTCATTTTTAATTTTGTTAAAAAAAAAGAATAATAATCTAATAATATTTCATTCTAATAATTTATATTTATTTTATATAGTTGATATAATTTATTTTCTTCATTTAATCATTCTAATAAAACATTTATAATGACTATAAACTTCATTCGCGAGAATTTCGTTCTGTCTTCCTTGATAGATATTGCAAATGTATTAATATTTAATCTTCAGATATCTTTTAATTTCCAAAACATTAGTGATGTAATTCGACCAAA